ACGGACCTGGTTGACCCTGCGCAGAGGTGACACATCAACAGCCTGTCTCCTCACGGTTCCAGCACGTCCGATACGAGTTGAGTCCTCACGAGGACCACTGTTGATGATGGCGTTCACCAGGATCTGCAGAGGATTCTAGAAAGGAAATAAAAATGGTCTACTATTTAGAAAGTCCCAACATCTTAGAAATAGTTTGACAATTTTTAATACAACATTTACATTCTACTATAAATTTACGCCAGACCAAAGGCAACCAGGCATTAATAAATCTGTGGAAAACCGTTGTCTCACCTCGCCGGTGAGCAGGTGGATGATCTCAAAGGCGTGTTTGACGATGCGGACGGTCAGCAGTTTCTTGCCGTTGTTGCGTCCGTGCATCATCATGGAGTTAGTGACGCGCTCCACGATGGGACACTGAGCCTTACGGAAACGTTTGGCTGCGTATCTGCCGCTGGAATGAGGGAGGTATTTGGCATATTTCTCCTTCACGGCAATGTAATCCTAACAAGAGAGAGAAATACATGTTAATATGCTCAACCTTATTGTATTACAACAGACATATGAATTTCTACAGCCTCTAAATTATCAATGTGATTAAAATGTTACTGAAAAATGTGCTACATGCCTTCTGCCATTTGATTTATAGCTTATAACTTTTTAGTAAATAAAAGATCCTTTAGTATAATTCTAAAAACATTCCAATTCGGGTCACGGTACAGGTCTTTTTTGCCATGATATCTTTACTGAATTTTATGAAGTAAACATAACTTTCATATTTGTAATCTTTCAATACGAACATTTACTGGACTAAAGCAACTTAGATTTACTTCATTAATCATACATATTTAGATATGCTGAAAGTATCAAATATGATTAAACAGACTTTTGAGAAATGCTATTGGACATCTCTTAATAATTGTATTGCATTATGTTCAGTCTGTCACAATAAAAGCTAGATATATGTTATTTATTGATACATTTATATAAAGAATATGATTAGCATAAACTTATAAGGGGGGAAAAAAAGACTATTTCATATGTCAGGGCTGATTAGCAAATAAAAAGCCATTCTCACAAAAAATAATGTCCATGAAAACATACCTGCAGGGAGATGTCGTTGATCTGCACATCATCTGTGCTCCATTTGCCAAAGAGTTTGATCTCTGGTGATTCAGCGACAGCTGGTACAGCCTCCCAATCTTCAGCCATCTTTCAAAGCAAATGAGAAAATAATTTTATGTACATAAGGGAGACCAAAAAACCTCAAAGTATTCACACAGATGCAAGACCAAAACAATCAAATAACTAGGTTTGAAATGCTAAATAAATTCAGTAAGAACAAGAATATCAAAATATTTGTTTTAAATGGAAACAATGCAACCCTAACGTATTCTAAATTTAAATTTAAAAAAGCAATATTGATCAGTTAATACAGTACATAAAGCATAAGATTGTGCTCAATATAGACAATTTGTGTTGACATCTAAAAAATGATTACCACGATC